CGCAAGGGGAAGACTGTGGTGTAACGCGAGTAGTCGTCAACCACCAGCAGGAAGTAGCGCTCGTGACCCTGTCCACGGACGCGGGCCGGGCCCCACACGTCCATGTGAAGCGTCTGCAGCGGGGCCTCTGTCGGGGGAAACTGAGAGGAGTGAGGGGCAGCCCGCAGCCGCCCCTCGACACAGGGGACGCAGGTGGGGCCAGGCCCCAGAGGAAGGGGAGGGAGGGACCGTGGAAGACCAGAGACAAGGACACGGGAGGCCATGCCTCGGAGACAAGGTAGGGAGGGGTGACCAAGGCGGTGGTGCCAGAGGAGAGTCTCGTGAGATAGGAGGCAACACGAGCAGGGGGCAGACTCAGGACCAGACCTGGACGCTGCAGCAAACACCTAACCCGACGCAGCTACCTGACCAGACGCAGGGACAGGAGGAGACTCAGTGGTCAGGGTGTACAGGCTCGACCCCGGCCGACGCGTAAACGTGGCCAGGTGCCGGCCTGTGCGAGCGTCCGAGCAGTGAGTCACTCGCTGAGTCGCAGGAGTAAACAGGTGAACCCCCGCATCCTGTAGGTCAGCACCACTCACCAAGTTCGTAGAGAACGAGGGGAGGTAAAGACCAGACAAGGTGCCACAGGGGGCCTCCGGACACGGGAGGACAGTGGAGAAGTGAGAAAGGACAGGACCCCCAGAGGGGTCTGCCAGGGAGACTGCAACCGGCCGACCAAGCGGCGTGAGTGTGGTGCGGTCTCGAAAGAAGGAGCGAGAAGCCCCTGAGTCAAGTGTGAAGGTGAGGGAGGCCGAAGCCGACGCGGTACCTGCGAGCGCAGACTCACCAGCACCTGAGGACGCAGACGCACTGGCACCTAGAGCAGCAGCCTCACTGGCACCTAGAGCAGCAGCCTCACCAGTACCTAGAGCAGCAGTCTCAATGCCCGGGTCGGGCGAGAAACAACGGTAACAGTCACCCTCATCACTAATAGACACAGCATACATGGCAGAAAGGATAGCATCAAAATCAAGATCATATATGGCAACTCCCGCCCTAGAGAGCTCGCCCCAGCGAGGGATCTCTGTGGCCTCCGGGAACTGGTGACGCCACGCGTCCTTCAGGCGGCCAAAGCAGCGCTGGGTGGGGTGCGCACCCCCACACTGCTCACCCGCACGGTCGCCGGTGCGTAGGACGTAGGTGCACGGACCAAAGCCCCCACCCCGCTGGCGTGTAGTGTACCACTCATGGAGCTGCTGAGGGGACAAGGTCTCATGACCGCGCTCCTGCTGCTGGCGCGGACCACCACCGGAGCCACTCCTCTGCGTAGACCCGCGACCAGCTCCACCGCCACCCCCGCCGCCTCCGCCGCCTCCGCTACTACCGCCGCCTCCGCCGCCTCCTCCACCGCCACCACCTCCGCCACCTCCGCTCCCATTGCCACCGCCGCCGCCGCCTCCGCCTCCACTGCCGCCACCGACACCTCCACCCCCACCTCCACTCCCACCGCCACCCCCACTCCCCCCGTCGCCTCCACCTCCACCTCCACCGCCCCCACTCGCTCCTCCAGTGCCCCTGCCCCCCTTGCCCCTGCCAGAGCGGCGTCTCCCGCTAGGGGCAGACGCCGCACCGACCGACTCAAGACCAAGGAGGTCGGCCGCAGCAGCAGAGGCAATAGAGGGTAGAAGGGGGGAGGGGGAACACCCCTCAAAGATGGGGGTGCGAGGGTCACCACGAGAGGCCCCTACAGCGACTATGCTCTTCTCCGCCGCTAGGAGGGACTTCTCGAGGAGGTCAACATTGAGAGTGGTGGGACAGACTGAGAGGAAGTGGTCTCTGACTATGCGAAGGGAGTCAGGGAGGCGAGTGACTATGTAGTAGAGAGTGATGTACATGGGGGGGGGGTTCTTGGCGCAGAAGTCAGCAGGAAGCGCAGCGCGGTAGCGAGTGTCACTAGTGCGGAGGTGCGTAATGAGGTCAGCGACTCTGGGAAAGGCAGCAAGGTCAGGGAAGAGGTACGGTAGCATGAGACGGCTCAGTGCAGCAGTGGCAGGGGAGGAGTAGCGTGCAACTACAGCGTCGTACAAGGTCTGAGCACTCTTGTACTGACTAAAGTGCGCACGCTCAGAGGTAGGGAGGTGGCGACGCACAGCAAGACGTGCAGCAGCATCGCGCGTGGCCCACTGTGAGCGAACAGTGGCGTCAGCATTAGCAGCAGGAGCATGAGAGGCACCAGAGGTGAGGTCAAAGAGGGAGAGACCGTCTGCCCTATCGCACTGTAAGAACAGCTGCAGGTCATCTACCCAGACGTCAAAGTCAATGGCTCGACCCTCGGCGTCAAAAGCGAGGACACTAGGGGTAGCCATGACAACAGTAGACTAGCAGCGCTGGCTGTAGAGCAGGGGCAGTGCAGTGACAGAGGCGTTGCGCTCACCAGACAGGGCGGTTCGGGCAGCTCGGGCGGCTCGGCAGCAACTGCGGCTCGGCGGCACCCACGGCTCGGCTCCTCAGCTGCTTAGGCGGCTCGGGCGGCTCGGGCGGCTCGGGCGGCTTGGGCGGCTCGGGCGGAACGGGCGGCTCGGGCTGCTGAGCGGCGCGGGCGGCTTGGCTGCGTAGGCGGTTCGGGCGGGGCCGTAGGTAGGGCGATGGGGCCGGGTCGAAGGTAGGGCGACGGGGCTGGTGCGCATGTAGGGCGACGGGGCCGGGGCCGGGGCGCAGGTAGGGTGACGGGGCCGGGTCGAAGGTAGGGTGACGGGGCCGGGGCCGGGCCGTAGGTAGGGCGACGGGGCCGGGTCGAAGGTAGGGCGACGGGGCCGGGCCGTAGGCAGGGCGACGGGGCCGGGGCCGGGCCGTAGGTAGGGCGACGGGGCCGGGTCGGCTGTAGGGCGACGGGGCCGGTGCGCAGGTAGGGCGACGGGGCCGGGGCCGGGGCGCAGGTAGGGCGACGGGGCTAGGGCCGGGGCCGCAGGTATGGCGACGGGGCCAGGGTCGCAAGGGGGGGGGGGGGGCGACGGGGCCGGGGTCGCAGGTAGGGCGACGGGGCCGGGGCGCAGGTAGGGCGACGGGGCCGGGGCGCAGTTAGGGCGACGGGGCCGAGGCGAAGGTAGGGAGACGAATCAGGGGCCGCTAAGGCGGCGCGACTTGGCCGCTAGGGCGGCTCGACGAAGTCAGAGAAGGGAGCGCGACTCGGGCAGAGCGCGCTCCGGGCAGGAAAAAAAAAAACTTTCGACTTGGTGGGCCCTAGGCACAGTTCCCACGAGGGAACCTGCTCGATACCATGTGAGAATCGAAACGAGAATGAGTGCACTAAGGAATGGAATGTGGTACAAATATGCAACCCTAGAAATGGGTACCCCATATAGGCTACCCCACTACAGCCTACAGAACATTATGATTTGACAGGTTGGGCTGCGCTTCAACCGTCAGATTCGTCTGACCTCCAGATCCTCCGGCCATTCTTACGCGTGATCGTGTGCCGGACGCCACATTCCGAATGTCGCAGATTTCGGAGATGGCGGTGCGAAGGATTCCTGAGTCGCTCTCATACCATGCTGCGATCAGAAGTTGATCGTGGCCTAGGATCTACTCAGGAAGGTTCGCACGCAGAGAAGTGATGTTGGTGGGCCCTTGACCTCAATAGCAGAGTGAATGTAAAATGCTTTGAGATAATAAACACATGCAGTACAAGGAATATAAATATGAGTACAGTGGAATTCGAAACGACCTAACTAGCCATGTACTCTAAGAGGTACATTCCCTTATTGTAGCGAAATCCAACCGTGCGACTCCGAGTGGTTACGTAACTGTTCGGGCAGAATCCTCGCCACTGCTGCTGCCTGATGCTGTCTGCCCGACGATCCAGATGCTCCTCGTAGCCGTCTGTCCCTTCGCCTTTCTTCTGGCTTTTCGTCTTCACTCTCGATAATGCGTGCTTCGGCTTTACTACGGTGAGGAGTGCGCAACAATGTTTTTCATTAACTACTATTCGTAACACAAACCATGCCATAATTTGAATAACACGTACTTTATTTGGCTGCTGTACTTGTTTGCTACTTTGGTGGCGAACCTAGCTAACATCTGTGAATTGGAGATGCTACGTGATTGGAGATGCTATGTGATGTGATTATATGCATGCCCTGGATTAATATGATCGCAATCTGTTATTGGAGACGCTATGTGATTGGAGATGCTATGTGATTATCTGCATGCCCTGGATTTATATGATCGCAAGCTGTTATAGGAGATGGAAGGCTACAACTCGCCATGCAGAATATGTCGTGAGAATCGAGGAAATTCGACGGATGAGATTTTCCGTGGTTTGATAAGGTCGTCGATGCGGCACGAAAGCACACGCAGAAACGTGCAAGCTCCACTTTGGAATCACAGACGGAACACCCATGCCCAAGAGCACCACAGAGGTTCCACCACACTGCACAAGCGAAAAGAAGACATTTCCACACTGCACACTATTGTAGGTCATGTGACTGTCCACTACAGCTAGTAGAAACACATTTCACTCCACAATAGATTCCCTTCCGAATCCTTTTCCTATTCCGTATCCTTTTCCGCAACCTTTCATTTCGGTCCTTCGCGCGCCGTGCTGAGCGCGTTACCAACGAGTGCAGGTTGGAAGCCTTGAAGCCGTCGATGTAGGAAGTATTAGCTGCGAGCCGCCATGTTTCGCAACGGAAGCTTAGGCCTACCAGGATTCGGTGGAGATGACGAGGAATACAACACTTTAAAGCAGAAACTCGCGTCTCCGTCCCAGAAAAGGTATACCAGGACAGCATTTTACATTGACGATGTCAATCTCTTCATGGAAATCTTTAAGATGCCCCAGCTTTACCTCACGAATAGTTTCTGATTGATGTTATGCCGAAGCACCAGTTAATGCCAATCCATAGTTCAGGAGGGCCTATCTAGTGGACCTTAGGCTGGAAGAGCGAAGTCCTCCGTGTTTATCTCCGCGCTTATAAGCTAACTCAACACGCCAACACTGCGCAAGTCGGAGTGCACGTTTAACCCAACTCCCTCCTTCCGTTCTTCCCAACTCCCTCGCATCCGCGCAGCGTGCGGTTACCGCCGTCGTCGTCAGGGTCCGCTGCTTCGTCCGCGTCGAACCGGGATGTGCCAGCAGCGGGTGCGGCGGCGAGTGCGAAGAAGGCAGATGTGCAGAAAACGGATGTTCCTCTGGAAAGTGCACGTACCGCAGCCAATGTGTCACCTGCCATAATCACAGCTCCTATTGTCCGCCCTGTTATTTTCAGCGACGCTGCTGCAACTCCCAGCGCCACCGCTGCTGCTCCAGACCCTTCGCCCGACGCCAGTAGTGCGACAGGGAGCATTTCTAGAAAGGCTAGTAACGAGTCTCGCACTAACGAATCTGTCCAGGCTGGAAGCAGCGGGGCAGACGAGACGGGGAGTAAGGAGGGGAGCCTACATGCGCGGCAAGCAGGCACGTCTAAGAGGGTTGCCTTTGCTCTTCCCTCCTTAGAAACAGGCGAGCCAGCGAAGGAATTCACCAAGGCAGTTCGCGGGGCTGCTGATGGCGATGGCGGTGATAAGCGTGAGGCCGGGACTTCTCCACTGCCGGCCATCGGATCCCGACCATCCGAATCTCAACCGTCCGATGCGTCTTCGCCGTCCACTTCGCCACCAGCTGAGAACCCCATAGAGACAGCTCTCGCCGTGGCTTCTGATTGGCTGAGACGGCAGGGAATAGGAGCGCGCGCAGTGGCTGCTATCGACCATGCGATTCACAAGTGAGTCAAGGGGGGAGGGAGGGGGGGAGAGAGGGAGCGGGGGAGGGAGCGGGGGTGGGAACGGGGGCGGGAGCGGGAGAGGAAGCGGGGGAGGGAGGGGGGGGAAGAGGGAGCGGAGGAGGGAGTGGGGTAGCGTACGCTGTATGCCCCCCGTGATTTTGAAGTAACGGCTGTATGCTTCCCCATGGAAGGCAAGGACGGTACAAGTGTAGAGAAGAATACAGCTGGTTGTTCAGGCGAATACGCTCCTCCTGTTTCACTCCCTGCTCCTACATTCGTACCTTCCCGACTCCTTGTTTCAGCATGGGACCAGCAGCACAGGGGGCGGCGCAGGCCGGGCGGCAGCTGTGGGCGGCGCATGGGCGGCAGGCGGTGGGGGAGGTGGTGAAGTGGCCGATGCTGGCACATGTGTGCATCGGCGTGGGTCTCACGTTCCTCCTCTGCCAGACAGGCTTCCTTCTCTCCCTGCTGCTGCTGCCCTGGGCTGTGCTCTACTTCTGGCTGGTACGCCGCTGCTGCTGCTAGATATTTTTTAGAATTTAGAAAATTCTTTTCCGTCACCCTTTTTTTTTCTCTCACTGATGCTGGCGCGGCCGCGTCACCACAAGCTTCGGAAAGTGACCATCCCCTCCGTTTCCACCCCAACCGCCCTTGCCGTTCCTGCCCCCTCCTCCCCTTCCCTCCACCCGTGCATGCAGCTGTGGACGCACCATTACGAGCGCCTGAAAGTGGCAGTCAGAGCAGCCGTGCGCATCGAGCAGCTCATGTCGCGGGTGAGACACCTGCAGCAGAGCTCAATAGCACTTACAGGCGTTTTTCGTGTACTGTGTCTGTGGTGATGAGCTTTGAAACAAGCCTTTCAGTTGTTAGACGTAGAAGCATGAAAAACATGCCCACTGCTGCTGGGCAAGGCCTGGCCCCCCTTCCTCAACCACCACTTTCTCACTCCCACTCTACTCCCCGCTCCCCGTTCCTCTGCTTGCTACACACAACACAGGCCATGCCCGAGGCGGAAACGGCCTTCTGGGCGTCGGTGCTTCTCTCCAAGGCATGGCCGCTCTTCCTCAACGCCTCTCACACCCCCCACTCCTCCCTTCCCCCCTTCCTTGTTACATTGCAGGCCATGCCCGAGGCAGAGACAGCCTTCTGGGCGTCGGTACTGCTGTCCAAGGCGTGGCCTCTCTTCCTCAACGACCTCGTCTCCACCAAGCTCATGCCCAAAGTCGCTCCCTGGTTCCTCTCCCGATACAAGCCTCCCATGCTCGTACGTCCATCCGCCTCTACCTTCCCACCCGATGCCGGATGCTCTCCCATGCTGCTCCATCCCTCCATGTCGGTCTGTTACTGTCGGACGTACAGCAACTGTCAGTGCCTGTCAGTGACTCACTGTCTGTCCTTCCCGTCCGAATTCCTTAGGCATACGGGATGGAAATGCCTGTGCCTGCCACATGCCACTTGTGTGCCTGATGCGTGCATGCGTCACCCCCGCCCATGACAGGCGAAGGTGGAGGTGGTGAAGGCCAACTTCGGTGACACAGCGCCCGTCATCACATCCATCAAAGCGTTCCGGGAGGGAGGCGGGCGCAACCATGTGGTGCGTGAGTGAGGGAGAGAGAGTGGGTGAGTGAGTGGGTGGGTGAGTGCTGGTGGCAGCATGTGCTGAGTATGTGCTTCCTACCTCCTGCTTTCTCTCTCCCTCCTTGCCCATCCCTGCCCATCACCCTCTTCTCTAGGAGCAGGCGACACCATGTCATGCCACACTACTTGCCCTTTACCCCCCTCTCTATCGCCGCACGTCTTCCTTTCATCACACCCGGTTGCCTCATCTCCCTTGCCGGGAGCTGCAGTGTGCAGTGCTGCATGCATGCACCACCATTCCACACTCTCCTCGCCTCGCCCCTTCCCCTTCATCTCTCCGCACCTCACCCCTGCCCCTCACCAGAAGCTGGAGGCGAGTGTGGAGGAGGCGGCGGCGTGTGCCAACAACAAAACTGTGCTGCCAGCACCGACCCCCCTCGTTGCCTCGCCCCTTCAATCTCACCTCACCCTCTCCATGACCAGGAGCTGGAGGCGAGTGTTGAGACAACATGAGTGTGCGAGCAGCCGCGTATGTGGCGGGCATGACAAGCATCCCGCTCCTGTTGACCGCATTCCAATCTCCCCTTGCCACCCCCCCCTGCCCCTTATCCATCTCACCAGGAGCTGGAGGCGAGTGTGGAATTGGTGGGGGCGGACAACTTGAGCGTGCAGGCGACTGCTTATGTGGCGGGCATGGGCAGCATCCCCTGGACCGCCTACATCACCGGGCTGCAGCTCACCGGCACGGTGCGAGAGCGGCTAGGCATGGCATTGTGGGAATAGACATATTATAGTTGAGGGGTGAAAGCACGGCTACCATTTCATGGACTGCCTGCATCACATCACAGAGCCGCACTTCACTGGCACAGTTGCGCAGTATGAAAAGGAAGGAGGGTTAGGTGACGATGTGCTGTGCTGAATACGAGTCCTGGACACGCATCTCCTCTCTCAACCCCCGCTCCTTTCCACGCCTCTCCCTGCAGATGCGTGTGGGCTGCGCTTCCGCTGCTCGCTCGCCTTTGTGGATGTGGTGACGGATGCTGTAGAAGCGTCGTGAACGCCCTCTCTCTGCCTGCCTTCTGCGCCCTCCCCATCCCCATCCCCATCCCTGCAGATGCGAGTGGGACTGCGCCTCCGCTACTCGCTGCCTTTTGTGGACCGGTTCATGCTAAGCTTCATGAGACTCTGGGAATGCTGTAGAGGCGTTGTAAATGCCCCTTTCCCTCCCCATCCCCACTCCTCCCCCTCCCGCCCTCCCCATCGCCCGCCCTGCAGATGCGGGTGGGGCTGCGGTTCCGGCGCTCGCTGCCCTTTGTGGACCGCGTGACGCTGAGCTTCGTGCGCCCCCCCCAGGTGTCGTGCGCCATCAAGGTCATGGGCGCCCTCGACGCCGCCAGCATTCCGCTTGTGGCCTCCTATGTGGTGCGTGCATGCCATGGGGTGGGGTGGGGTGGGATGGGTTGGGATGGCATGGGATGGCATGGCATGGGATGGGATGGGATGGGATGGGATGGGATGGGATGCACTGCAAGGGGATGGACATGCCCCTTGCTCTTGGGTTACTCTCATGCTTCATGCTTATGCCCCATGCCCCCATGCCCCCATGCTCAGGAGTCTTGCTTTGCCTATGTGTGCTATTCCTGTTGCCCTTCCCATCCCATGGCCTTTCCCATCCCCCTGGCAACGAGCAGGAGTACACTCTCCAAAACGCCCTCAAGACGTCCCTCTGCTGGGTACGTGCCCGTTGTCCCCCTACTCCTCACGCCCATGACTGTTTCTTCAGACCAAACCGTGCCATACCATGTCACATACCCCCATGCACCAGTAGTACCGTCATGTTATACCATACGTTTGCTAGCCAGTCCATGCCCTGCCATAGCGTAACGTGCATGCATGCCACATCCCCTTGTGATGTCTTATGCCACGCCATGCCATGCCACGTCATACCTCCCGTTCACACCCCAACCGCCTGGTGGTGGTGGATGCGGTGCAGGCAGCTGCCTTGGTGCTCAACATGGCTCAGTGTGTCATGCCTCACATGGCTCAGTGTGTCATGCCTCACATGGCTCAGTGTGTCATGCCTCACATGGCTCAGTGTGTCATGCCTCACATGGCTCAGTGTGTCATGCCTCACATGGCTCAGTGTGTCATGCCTCACATGGCTCAGTGTGTCATGCCTCACATGGCTCAGTGTGTCATGCCTCACATGGCTCAGTGTGTCATGCCTCACATGGCTCAGTGTGTCATGCCTCACATGGCTCAGTGTGTCATGCCTCACATGGCTCAGTGTGTCATGCCTCACATGGCTCAGTGTGTCATGCCTCACATGGCTCAGTGTGTCATGCCTCACATGGCTCAGTGTGTCATGCCTCACATGGCTCAGTGTGTCATGCCTCACATGGCTCAGTGTGTCATGCCTCACATGGCTCAGTGTGTCATGCCTCACATGGCTCAGTGTGTCATGCCTCACATGGCTCAGTGTGTCATGCCTCACATGGCTCAGTGTGTCATGCCTCACATGGCTCAGTGTGTCATGCCTCACATGGCTCAGTGTGTCATGCCTCACATGGCTCAGTGTGTCATGCCTCACATGGCTCAGTGTGTCATGCCTCACATGGCTCAGTGTGTCATGCCTCACATGGCTCAGTGTGTCATGCCTCACATGGCTCAGTGTGTCATGCCTCACATGGCTCAGTGTGTCATGCCTCACATGGCTCAGTGTGTCATGCCTCACATGGCTCAGTGTGTCATGCCTCACATGGCTCAGTGTGTCATGCCTCACATGGCTCAGTGTGTCATGCCTCACATGGCTCAGTGTGTCATGCCTCACATGGCTCAGTGTGTCATGCC